TATAGCCAAATTAATTTATATTTAACAAATTGTATTTATTTGATTGATTATTAGTATTGAATATTGATTATATGTTTTTTTTTTCGATTACTTGAATTAATTGTTTGTATCAAATATGCTATAAATTTTTTAAACATAAATGAACATTTTCTTGCAATGAGCAAAATATTAATAAAATAATTGTTCGAAATCAACCGAATGAAAATGATGAGCAAAATATTAATGAAGAAAGATTTTTTAAATGTAAATATGCATTTTCTTGAGTCAAGTATGAATCATTCAAAAATAAGAGTAAAGTACTTGATTTTTACAGAGTTTGATTGTGTCCCCCAACTCAAAACGTCCGCGTCCACCCATTGGAACTTAGACAAATTCCTCAATTTCTTACTCATAATCCTGAAATATTATTAGGAAATCCCATAACGCTGACTAGGAATTTTTATATTATTGATGTTGTATTGCTCAAGCGAATAATAACCTATTTTAGTCGAGATTACTCTTGCTGTTTTTGTCACCATAATAGAGGAATCATTCAAGATTTTCAATTCCAACCCAAGCTTGATGCCATCCGTATTTAATTGTCAAGAAAAACGGCTATATAAAATATCCTGTCCTCGAATATGATTCTTCATTTTTTCATATATTTTTTTCGACTGAATGTTTGTATATGCACTAAATTTTTCTGTAATTGGTTGTGATACTTAACCCTGTTTGACTTAAATAAAAATCAACTTTAGTAAACTTACACCGAAAATAATAAGTTTTCATTATGTAATACTAAATTATATGATTATTTTTCGTTAAGACAAATGAATGACTTCAATACATGTAAGAATAAAATGTTTGCAAGTAACAAAATGAGCATAATATAAATATTATTTAGAAATTCTATAAAGGACAAAATTATAAAGTTAAAATGTAAATACTATAGTAACAAATAAGTTTACAAGATCAATATTTTATAGTTATATAATAATTATAGACGGTAACTTAAAAACCCTATTTTTTTCTCAAAAAAAAAATTTATACTTCGAAATTTTTTAAATAATTTTTTAAACAATTATTCACTGATCCAACTGATTCAATCAGTAACCTGATGATTCAATGCCTTTGTCGGGTCAATGCTCAGGTTGACTTGATAATACCATTGAGTGCACTAATCATATTGAGAATGAACAACTAGAAACTATTGTTGATGAAATGAATAATATTATCTAGTACCAATAGTGTTTATACAGTTTAGGTAACATTAATTGATAGGGTCAATAAAAGGTAGAATTAAGTGATTCATTTAATTATACAGCTCATTTAATATCATATTAGGAGTGGAGATTTGTTGTCCAATTTTTTGTCTATTCAATTAAATATTGATATGTCATTTTAAATTAACATGTCATTAATTTGGTGGGTTAGCGGCGAAATTAATGAGGATAAATTTGAGTGATATGTTAATTTAAAAATGATATATCAATAATTAATTGGACAGACAATAAATTGGACATCAAATCTCGACTCCTACATTAATGCCACCTAAATTGGTATTTTTTAAATACTATTAGTACTAAATAACATTATTCTAAAAAAATTGATGATCTAGAGGTAGTAGTCACTAATTTGAGGGCCAGAGCAGGATTCATCGTGACAGGTTGTTTAACAATAATTATTATAGAATCTCTCAATATTTACAATTATTCGGTAGTTTAGTGAATAAATAAATATTTAATATCCAAAGTCTTGATATTTAATTGAATCAATAAATGCTTGGAGTTTTACATTTTATTGCATTTATTCCGATGCATCAACTCTGGTGTAGGTCTTCTGAAAATTGTTGTTTGTACAATATTTGTTTGACAACTTTTTTTACAGCTGTCTCACAAATGTGGAGTCTCCAATTATTTTAATCATGGATCCCATCAACTTGCATGTCTGTACTTTGAAAAATGCAATATTGACGTACATATAACATCTTTCAAGTCTTAATTCTGTATTAGAATTAGTAGTCGTAACTAACCTATATGCTATTGAATTATTCAACTAAGTTAAAATACCTATTCTCTGTCAGGGAAAAAAAAAACTACATACTAATAAATTGTTCAACTTAGATGAAGTACAATAACTAAGATTAATAATCTGCTAACTAAAATAAAAAATAAAGGAAATGATCATTGCATATTGTAAAAGTTCTGGATGATTGAAGTGAGAGAGCTGATTGAAGTCCAATTCGATTTCAATCAAGGGGGGAAAAAGAGTTGAGTGATTATTCTCTAACTTTAAACAATTTCAATTAGTTTTACTTAAGTAAATATTATCTTATATTAAGTATTTGTTCATTTTTTAATTTCGATTATTAAAAAAATGAATTTTGAAAAAAAAAAATTACTTATTCATTTATTAGTAAGATTGCTTAGGCCCGCATGTTATGAGTAACTTTTATTGCTGAAAAATTGGAAAAGAGATTCAGAGAAATATATTTAAAAATAAAAAATTAATCTGAAGTAACTTTTGCTTTTTTTTAAAGCTTAAGCAAACATATCCCAACATGTAGGTACAAGTGCAATAAGTGTGGTGTTGCCCATTTGAAAATATCTTAACATAATTTTCAAAGAAATGAAAATCATGAACCTATAGATTGACACAATTCATGGGGATGACATATTGTGACAAAGAAATCAAAGATTTTAGGGAGAAATTGTTGAAGGATTTGGATCCTGCCCTATCCTTACAGCTTGTCACACTATTTTTATGTTAATTAAAATGCTACCTCAATAATAATAATAATAATGTAACTTCTTCTTCTTATTATTTTTTCAATAACATTTAATACAATTTTTTTTGTTTTGATGAGCGTGGATGATCGGGTCAGTTTAGCGCACCTCGACTAATTCCACGAGGTCCTAAAGTTTACAGTCGGGTACTCATCTTAATGGTCATGAGGGGACTAGAAGTGGTGACCATTGTGGAGTAAACCCAAAATTTGACTGCTGAGCTACCTCTCAAGGTTAACATTTAATACAATTGCATAAATAATTTTCCATATATTCATTAATCCATCGGCATATCTACTTAAAATTTAGTACTACTAACTTTCGAACAAGTTATATTGATTTTTAGTGTATCTTTTCATCGTCTAAAATATTTCACGAAGATCAGAAACAAGAAATTGTAATCATACTTTTCGGAGTTCAAAAATTATCATTTCTATATAGTTAAAATGATTAGATGACCGCAAACAATTTTGACTCGTTAGATAAGATCAACAATTGAAGTTCTCAAATTTTGAACTTCATTTATTTGCTAATTCAAACATTAAGATATTTTTTTTTTTATGGAATTGAATGACTTGCAAGTCAGTCAAATTACTTGGAATTATTGACCAGTTCATCCCATATATTTTTTTAAATAATATATAACACTTTGACTTGACTATATATTTCGATTTTTCATTTATTGCCACTCATTGCCGTAATAATATCCACGTGATCAGTATGAAGAAAATGCACTTATCAAGGAAGGCATATGGTCAAGAATTTAGACTTTTACTAAAATAAAAACTTTCTCTTTCGAAATAATTTAGATTATGATTGACACGTACAAGATTTTGAATTATGAACGTTTAGTAAAAAAAAAAAAATGATTTACGCGTTTAATTAATGTCCAATTAATAAAAAATTGAGGTGTCCTTTGTATGCGTCTTATGTAAAAAAATTGGTATTGTTGGAAAATTTGGACGTGACGTACCGATACGACGAGGCTAGGTGTTTACGAATTAATTAAGTGTAATTGAGTTGAATTTGTCTTTGCCAATTTAACGTCAAGAAGCCGGCATTTAAGTGCTTAGCCCGAAATTAATTTGTTTAATTAATATTCTTATCAACATGCTAATCGCTCTTCTTCTTCTTCTTCTTTTTTTTGATACCCAGGTGTCCACCTTACAACGACTAATCTTGGAGTCTACGATCCAGCCCCTCTTCACGCAGACCAGATAAACCGCGGGTTGTGCTCCAAACTGGCCAGGGTCCAAGAGCCCCCAACTGAACTGCTAAAGTGTCGAGCGAGTCAAACCCATGTATGCGTCTTGCCTTCCAAGGAACTCCTGCCTTCCAGGAGCCCCATGAATCGAACCTGCGACCTCTGAACTGCCTGCCTTGAAGAACTCCGTCCTTTGCCATTTGGGATGTGCCCGGGAGCACTAATTTCTCTTCTTCTTTTTACATGTAAAAGTTGTTCAAGTACTGATTTTGAATTAAATTAATCTATATATATATATATATTTTTAATTTTATAAACTTGTCTTGAAATCAATGGAAAAAGTTTTAGAAGGATCGAGAGTTAAAGGTTCGACTAAATCTCTAACAATAGTTGTTGAATTGAATTTCGGCTAAATGACTCGTTAACGAAAATTCTCATTTTTCTTTCTAATACAATCTGCGAAACTTGATTAATCCATTGCCAATTCATTGAATTTCTTGATAAACTGGTCGGAAGTTCGAGTTTTTTACATTCTTACATTTAATAATATAAATTTGTACACGATATAAAGAGCGTGTTTATCCCGATTGTTAAAGAAAATCATCAAAAACCAACTCATCAAGATTCCAAATTTGTCCTAATATGTTGGTTTTAACGATTAAATAATGACTAAAGTTGAATTCGACAACTTGCTTAAGAAATAAAAATAAATATAAATATTTTTGCATTACTTAGTGTCTTGTCTTAAGTGGGGGACAAAGTTGAATTAAAGAACCTAATTTTTATATATATTTGCATGGAAAAGTCAATTAATATTAATTAACCTTATTTTATTGCTGATTAGTGAGTACTTATTCGAAAGGAACAACGTTTGTAGCCACAAGAAGGGAATAAGGAGGTGAGAGCAGATAAAAATTGAAACTGGTGCTTCGTTTCACCAATGTCTTATTCTCTAATTGCACTTGTGACTTTATTTTAAAAGGGTGAGAAAGCGTGCTGATGGCAATAAATTAAATAAAAAAGTAAAAATCTCATTTATTGTACTGAAGAGATATGATATGAAGAAAATATATCATGTAAAGTCTTGAGCGATCAAAAATATGTTAAAATTCAATGATGATATGATGATTTTGGATTTTTCGAGAAATTACAACATCGTTTAAAGAATGAGAAAAATGCTCCAAACTTTTATATTTGTACCGATAAATCTTTGATCTCTGTTTCTTGAATAAAGTCAGATGACCTACAAGAATGACCGCACAGATGACCGTGACTCATATGGATGTCCCGCGTGAATAGAATAATGCCTCACCCCCATGTTGGTATATGCGGTCATTCCCAATGTCAAACTCGATGTTCGTTTAGCACGGTTGTTGTTTCCTAGCATTGACGTATTTTATATTTTTTAATTCAAAAAACCTCCTTGAATAGGGCCAAAAATAGGGGGACCATGTGGCGCCCCCCTATTGGACGGTGGGGCTAGCCCTGTTTTTGGGCCTGTTCAAGGAGCATCTCTCTTTTTAATTTGTAGCATATGCTCTCTTCAAAAAGACTCGTGTATTTCCACCCTCCAATAGGGGCACACCACATGGCCCCCCTGTCTTTGGCCCTGTTTTTGGATCTGTTCAAGGAGTATCTTTTTTTTTTTTTTTTTAATTTGTAGAACATGCTCTCTTCAAAAAGACTCGTGTATTTCTCATTTTAAGTTTTGACGACAAAAATAAGTAAAATTTTAAATTTAATGAAATATAAATAACAGAGGAGAAAAATCCAATCAATATATTCGTCTTTTAAACAAATTATGTCTTTTATCAGGGACTGTGCGAAGTATTGAGTATATGTAAGTGTAGAGGATTTGGCTTTATTTTGTTTTCCAGTCTTTGGATCATACTTGACGACCCCTGAAGAAAAGTAAAAACAAGATTACATTTATCTGACTGAAAAATCTCAGTTTAATAATTCCTTTATTAGACTATGAGTTCTTAACTCACCATGCATTCTATCGGCTGCTGCCTCGGCTGGAGGGTAGCCTTTGCCTTTCTCCGTTACAATATGGATCAGGACAGGCCCTGGTGCTGGCATTTCTTTTACTTTTTGGAAAATCGTTACTAAATCATTAAGATTATGACCATCGACCGGACCAATGTAATATAGTCCAAGCTCCTCAAAGTATGTAGAACCAGAAGCGCCCAACATTCCCCTTGCATATTCATCAAACTTGGCTGCAACTTCATGTGCTTGAGGACCAATTTGTTTTGTAATGCTCTGTCAAGAGTCAAGGCACGAAATTTCCATAAGAACTACGAATTTAACACTTTGAATTTGGAAACACAAAGGAAAAATTAATTACTTTTGCTGCCTCTCGAAGCTGTCTAAATTTGGGGCTGGCTTGGAGTTTGCTTAAAGCACCACTGAGGGCGCCAACAGGTGTGGCTGGACCATCAAGTGTTGCTGTTGGTAATGAAACCTGTTTGTTGTCATTTAGTATAACAATAAGGTTAGTATCAAGAAATCCAGCATTATTCATAGCCTCGTATGCTTGTCCTGCAGTCATGGCTCCATCTCCAATCACAGAAACGACATTGTTATTCTTCCCCAGTAGATCTCTTGCCACCGCCATACCTACCAGCGATAATATGTAGACAATTTATCATGTCCTAATTCAACAGTCTCCCCCAGAATTTCACATTTCAGGGAGCGGAGCGTAAAAAAATTTATAGCGTGAAAAATAATGTACCAAGTCCAGCAGAAATGCTTGTTGAACTATGTCCTGCACCAAAAGCATCATACACACTCTCATCCCTTTTGGGAAAGCCTGCTAATCCGGAAGTTTTCCGAATAGTGTGCATTTTAGACCTCCTCCCGGTCAGAATCTTATGCCCATAAGTCTGCAATTCCATTGCTCTATTTCAGAACCTATTTCTAAGTTACTAAAAAACTGACAGAAACAAAGATCCTCGTACTGATAAAAAAACTGCTCTTACATAGATTCTACTTGATGACATTTCATTTTTCTAGTTATAAAGAATGATATTTACTTTACCTGATGACCAACATCCCAAATAATTTTGTCATCAGGAGTATTAAAAACATGGTGAAGAGCCACAGTCAATTCCACCACTCCTAAGCTTGAACTCAAATGCCCTCCTGTTTTTGATACTGCATATACAATCTCTGCTCTAAGTTCTGCAGCTAATTGTTCAAGATCCTGATAAAAACAAGAACATATGTAAGGAGATATTAAAAAGAAAGTATAAGCAGTTCATCAGAAATAAATTATAAACATAAGTAAGAGCTTCATCATAATCAATATAATATACCTTTGATGACAAGTTCTTCATATGAACTGGAAAATTGATTGTATCTAGCAAAGGTGTGGCCAAAGTTTCACCCGAAAAATCTAACTTCCAGCCGTCCTTTTCTTTCCTTATTACCATCCTTCCATTCTCATCATCTGAACTAGAAGCAGATGCTTTCACGCGGAACTGAAATTAATCAAGAAACATAAATTCATGTCAATCAAGCTTATTCATACTAACATACAATCTATCTGCATTTGTACACACTGTACCAACAAAAATATCAAGAACCCACATGCCAAGAACAGCAAAATTGAGTAGAAAAAACAAAGGAATATGCAGTAACCTGGTTTCGTCCTCCATATTTGGATTTTGGGGCTAGCATATAAGGTGATCTGGGTAGGTTTATTCCCATGGCAATTTCTTGAACGGCCATTTTAATGGAATTAGTTGTAGGTTAACAGAAAGAGAAGATTGTCGACAGTAAGATGCTACTTGTAAGTTGGCAACAAGGAAAATATTTATAGTGCAACAAGAGAGTCCTTTTTGGAGAAAACTAAGAATGTGGGGCAATATTTGAAATAGCCCTCCACTGTTACGTCTATTTTTTAGTTTACCATTCTCTTGCACGGCGATTTTGACCAGTTTTATATTAAATAAAAAAAATAAGTTGAATTTTATCACTGACTGATAGTACCGACTATCGTTCATCCTCTTGCATTGCAACCCAATAGCAACGGGAGGTGGGAATGGGTAACTAGATGTGGAAGTTTGGCTAGAATGCATGAAAGGAGGAGGTTTTGAAAGTATTTTTAAAATTATTAATTGAAAAGAGGTTATTTCTGTTTTCTCTCGTCAACAGTCAACTGGGAGCGGATTGGAATCCCCAACTTTTGAGATTTTTTTTTTTTTTTAAAAAAAAAAAAAAATTTTTTAAATAAACACAAAAAAAAAAAAAAATCTGAGATTTTTTTTTTTTTTATAAGAAAAAAAACAATTTTTTAAATCAACCAAACAAATCTGGACGATACATGGATTGTCAAGAAAGTTGTTAACAATCATTGTACAAATAGCTTTATTTTTCATGGAATTTTTAACTTTTTAACTTATATCAAAATTTACTAAAAATATAATTTTAATCCCACTAAACAGGGGTAAATTCACAATAAATTTGAAAAATTTTTCTTTTTTATCTTGCTTTATTTTACTCTCTTCCTCACACATTTTACCAAAACCTTAATTCTTCTATTTTTTTAAAAAAAATTTGGCTATAATTTTTCTAAAAATTATCACATTTACTACAGATTTTCACTTTTCAATTAAATTTTCAATTAATTAGAACATAAATATATAATATCTCATAGCCTATTTGTATATATTGAATGTGTTTGGACTGATTATAGCCAAATTAATTTATATTTAACAAATTGTATTTATTTAATTGATTATTAGTATTGAATATTGATTATATGTTTTTTCTTTCGATTATTTGAATTAATTGTTTGTATCAAATATGCTATAAATTTTTTAAACATAAATGAACATTTTCTTGCAATGAGCAAAATATTAATAAAATGATTGTTCGAAATCAACCGAATGAAAATGATGAGCAAAATATTAATGAAGAAATATTTTTTAATGTAAATATGCATTTTCTTGAGTCAAGTATGAATCATTCAAAAATAAGAGTAAAGTACTTGATTTTTACAGAGTTTGATTGCGTCCCCCAACTCAAAATGTCTGCGTCCACCCATTGGAACTTAGACAAATTCCTCAATTTCTTACTCATAATCCTGAAATATTATTAGGAAATCCCATAACGCTGACTAGGAATTTTTATAATATTGATGTTGTATTGCTCAAGCGAATAATAACCTATTTTAGTCGAGATTACTCTTGCTGTTTTTGTCACCATAATGGAGGAATCATTCAAGATTTTCAATTCCAACCCAAGCTTGATGCCATCCGTATTTAATTGTCAAGAAAAACGGCTATATAAAATATCCTGTCCTCGAATATGATTCTTCATTTTTTCATATATTTTTTTCGACTGAATGTTTGTATATGCACTAAATTTTTCTGTAATTGGTTGTGATACTTAACCCTGTTTGACTTAAATAAAAATCAACTTTAGTAAACTTACACCGAAAATAATAAGTTTTCATTATGTAATACTAAATTATATGATTATTTTTCGTTAAGACAAATGAATGACTTCAATACATGTAAGAATAAAATGTTTGCAAGTAACAAAATGAGCATAATATAAATATTATTTAGAAATTCTATAAAGGACAAAATTATAAAGTTAAAATGTAAATACTATAGTAACAAATAAGTTTACAAGATCAATATTTTATAGTTATATAATAATTATAGACGGTAACTTAAAAACCCTATTTTTTTCTCAAAAAAAAAATTTATACTTCGAAATTTTTTAAATAATTTTTTAAACAATTATTCACTGATCCAACTGATTCAATCAGTAACCTGATGATTCAGTGCCTTTGTCGGGTCAATGCTCAGGTTGACTTGATAATACCATTGAGTGCACTAATCATATTGAGAATGAACAACTAGAAACTATTGTTGATGAAATGAATAATATTATCTAGTACCAATAGTGTTTATACAGTTTAGATAACATTAATTGATAGGGTCAATAAAAGGTAGAATTAAGTGATTCATTTAATTATACAGCTCATTTAATATCATATTAGGAGTGGAGATTTGTTGTCCAATTTTTTGTCTATTCAATTAAATATTGATATGTCATTTTAAATTAACATGTCATTAATTTGGTGGGTTAGCGGCGAAATTAATGAGGATAAATTTGAGTGATATGTTAATTTAAAAATGATATATCAATAATTAATTGGACAGACAATAAATTGGACATCAAATCTCGACTCCTACGTTAATGCCACCTAAATTGGTATTTTTTTAATACTATTAGTACTAAATAACATTATTCTGAAAAAATTGATGATCTAGAGGTAGTAGTCACTAATTTGAGGGCCAGAGCAGGATTCATCGTGACAGGTTGTTTAACAATAAATATTATAGAATCTCTCAATATTTACAATTATTCGGTAGTTTAGTGAATAAATAAATATTTAATATCCAAAGTCTTGATATTTAATTGAATCAATAAATGCTTGGAGTTTTACATTTTATTGCATTTATTCCGATGCATCAACTCTGGTGTAGGTCTTCTGAAAATTGTTGTTTGTACAATATTTGTTTGACAACTTTTTTTACAGCTGTCTCACAAATGTGGAGTCTCCAATTATTTTAATCATGGATCCCATCAACTTGCATGTCTGTACTTTGAAAAATGCAATATTGACGTACATATAACATCTTTCAAGTCTTAATTCTGTATTAGAATTAGTAGTCGTAACTAACCTATATGCTATTGAATTATTCAACTAAGTTAAAATACCTATTCTCTGTCAGGGAAAAAAAAAAACTACATACTAATAAATTGTTCAACTTAGATGAAGTACAATAACTAAGTTTAATAATCTGCTAACTAAAATAAAAAAATAAAGGAAATGATCATTGCATATTGTAAAAATTCTGGATGATTGAAGTGAGAGAGCTGATTGAAGTCCAATTCGATTTCAATCAAGGGGGGAAAAAGAGTTGAGTGATTATTCTCTAACTTTAAACAATTTCAATTAGTTTTACTTAAGTAAATATTATCTTATATTAAGTATTTGTTCATTTTTTAATTTCGATTATTAAAAAAATGAATTTTGAAAAAAAAAAATTACTTATTCATTTATTAGTAAGATTGCTTAGGCCCGCATGTTATGAGTAACTTTTATTGCTTAAAAATTGGAAAAGAGATTCAGAGAAATATATTTAAAAAAAAAAAAATTAATCTGTAGTAACTTTTGCTTTTTTTTAAAGCTTAAGCAAACATATCCCAACATGTAGGTACAAGTGCAATAAGTGTGGTGTTGCCCATTTGAAAATATCTTAACATAATTTTCAAAGAAATGAAAATCATGAACCTATAGATTGACCCAATTCATGGGGATGACATATTGTGACAAAGAAATCAAAGATTTTAGGGAGAAATTGTTGAAGGATTTGGATCCTGCCCTATCCTTACAGCTTGTCACACTATTTTTATGTTAATTAAAATGCTACCACCATGATGATAATAATGTAACTTCTTCTTATTATTATTTTTTCAATAACATTTAATACAATTTTTTTTGTTTTGATGAGCGTGGATGATCGGGTCAGTTTAGCGCACCTCGACTAATTCCACGAGGTCCTAAAGTTTACAGTCGAGTACTCATCTTAATGGTCATGAAGGGATTAGAACTGGTGACTATTGTGGAATAAAACCAAAATCTGACTGCTGAGCTACCCCTCAAGGTTAACATTTAATACAATTGCATAAATAATTTTCCATATATTCATTAATCCATCAGTATATCTACTTAAAAATTTAGTACTACTAATTTTCGAACAAGTTGTATTGATTTTTAGTGTATCTTTTCATCGTCTAAAATATTTCACGAAGATCAGAAACAAGAAATTGTAATCATACTTTTCGGAGTTCAAAAATTATCATTTCTATATAGTTAAAATGATTAGATGACCGCAAACAATTTTGACTCGTTAGATAAGATCAACAATTGAAGTTCTCAAATTTTGAACTTCATTTATTTGCTAATTCAAACATTAAGATATTTTTTTTTTTTATGGAATTGAATGACTTGCAAGTCAGTCAAATTACTTGGAATTATTGACCATTTCATCCCATCTATTTTTTTTAAATAATATATAACACTTTGACTTGACTATATATTTCGATTTTTCATTTATTGCCACTCATTGCCGTAATAATATCCACGTGATCAGTATGAAGAAAATGCACTTATCAAGGAAGGCATATGGTCAAGAATTTAGACTTTTACTAAAATAAAAACTTTCTCTTTCGAAATAATTTAGATTATGATTGACACGTACAAGATTTTGAATTATGAACGTTTAGTAAAAAAAAAAAATGATTTACGCGTTTAATTAATGTCCAATTAATAAAAAATTGAGGTGTCCTTTGTATGCGTCTTATGTAAAAAAATTGGTATTGTTGGAAAATTTGGACGTGACGTACCAATACGACGAGGCTAGGTGTTTACGAATTAATTAAGTGTAATTGAGTTGAATTTGTCTTTGCCAATTTAACGTCAAGAAGCCGGCATTTAAGTGCTTAGCCCGAAATTAATTTGTTTAATTAATATTCTTATCAACATGCTAATCGCTCTTCTTCTTCTTCTTCTTTTTTTTGATACCCAGGTGTCCACCTTACAACGACTAATCTTGGAGTATACGATCCAGCCCCTCTTCACGCAGACCAGATAAACCGCGGGTTGTGCCCCAAACTGGCCAGGGTCCAAGAGCCCCCAACTGAACTGTTAAAGTGTCGAGCGAGTCAAACCCATGTATGCGTCTTGCCTTCCAAGAAACTCCTGCCTTCCAGGAGCCCCATG